ATTGCCTGCAATCTAGGGTTCAATTTTTAAGTTTGGGAAATGCATTAAGTGTAATTTAACGTGCAAAATTTCACTTCTAATTAAAGCAAGATTTAATTATAAGTAAAAATTTTAAAGTAAACACTCTTCCTAAGATAAAACACCTTTAATTATAAATCAGCCCATTTTCTTAATATTTTTCTATTTCAGAAAGGAGTTGGTAGTATTCATACAACACTGATTTTACTTTACCTTCCAAATTTCCCATTTCTCCTAAAGAGTAGATAGGATAGAGAATGTGGACCTGAAATAGTCCTGCCTGGAGCATGTTTGTATCCATCCTTCAAGGTGGAGGATGGGTGAGGAGGGAAGGCCAGACCGGGTACAGCTGGGCAGCAGCATTTGGGATCCAGCAGATTCAGACTTTGGATTCATTTTTCTCGGTTGCATGGATATTTCGGGTGAACCTGTAATTGGGCCTCATTCACCTGGGTTGTACCCTCAAACTCTCCACTTCCTGGTGGGTGGAGTTGAGCCACGAGGCCCAAGCCTGCTCCCTTAAGCCCATCTGGCCACTGTCTCTGATGCTGAACTTTGTCAGAAACACGCAGAGGCTGCCACCGCTGCCGGTAAAAACCTCTGAAGCGGATGTGTTTTCCCTCTGGACACCTCTGCCATTTAAAGCCTACTTCACTGCTTTCCAAGACAGGTGAAGGCTTGTGGGCAGCCTGGGCTAACGAGGAGGGACGCTGGATCCCACCTTAGGGATCCCAAGTTAATCTCTGTCTGACAGTCAGGCCTTCTCTCAGCCGAGAGCTCCTTGTGGGTGATGGCCTGCTGCTCACGTTCATTCAGGCCCCCAGACTTCCTAGAGTGGGGTGGCTTATAGGCAGTGCCTGCCATTAGCCCTGTGCCGTCTTATCTGTAACAGTGCCCAGGCTGTCTGCTTTTCCTTCTAGGCACTTCCTGGGGTTAGTTCACCCCACCAGAACAACATGCAAATGAGGCAGGTTTCTCTAAGATAATCAGTCCTGGTCATTCCAGGGTGAATCCAAAGAGAATCTGGGCTGCTGCATCCCAGTGCACCCTCACTGACCCATACCAGAATGTGCCAAGGGCACCTTGAATTTTCCAAGACAAATGGTGAATCTTAAGGGGAGTATTTTATCCTCTTGTGAGGAATGTACTTTAAAATGTGCACAACTGAGGAAGCAGAGCTTATGGAAGACTAAGACCCCATTCTGGCCAAACTTAAAAGGACGATTTTGACTGCTGCTTGCTGTCCCATGCGAGACGTTTAACCCACAGACCTTATAGGTGTTGGTAATCTTATTTGGGAACTTGGCTTTCATAGCAAGAATTGATTACTTACCAAGTACCCTAATTCAAGAAGAGTTGCTCCCTGCCTCCGTTTGATTTTTTTTTTTTTTTTTTTTTAATCTGGTCCTGAACAGTTAGTCATCCTTCTTTAAGCGTACAAGTTCATCTTTAAGCTCTGTTTCTGGTGTTGCTCTCCTTTACCTAAAACGATTCTGAATCATTTGTGTGATTAAGGAAATACTGTCTGAAGCCTTTTTTTTTTTTTTTTTTTTTTTTTTTGTATTCACATATGACACCAGAGCTGCAAAATAGGAACTAAGCATGGTAACAATGCTGGCCCCGAGGTGGCCAAGTCTGCATGCTCTCTTCCGGGCCTGCCGCCAAGAGGAGAGCTAGCTGCTGATGGAAGCGCGGCGTGCTTCTTCTAAAACCTCCTTATTTGGGGCTTCTCCCCAGAGACAGGGAAGAAAATCCAGGGGGAGGCATCAGCCTTGGAAGCCGGCACCATCTGCTTTCTCACGCTGATGGAAAGCATGCAGGACAGGCGTGCTTGCAGAGAACAGGCGTCTCCCATCTCCCTCGCATCTCTGGCATGTCCAGGATCACCCCGAGTCACCCCCAGATAAGAGGCAGCAAAGATAGCTCGGTGACCGGCAGTGCAGAGTGGTAACTGGCCGATGGTGAATCTCTTCGAAACGTCACTTTTCTGACTCAGCCAGGGCTTTGTTCCTGTCTTGCAGCTGTCTGGACATTTAGCCAGTCAGATCATTTTTAGTATGTAATCACCTGACATGCTAAGTGTCTGTGTGTGCCCTGAGACGCAAGGATGGCCATCTGACCTCGCCCTGTCCTTGTCTAGGAAACACGCTGGAGAAGAAGGGTGGCAAGGAGTTTGTGGAAGCTGTTCTGGAACTCCGGAAAAAGAACGGGCCCTTGGAAGTAGCTGGAGGTGAGGTGGGGAGGCACTGTGCTGATCTGGGCATGGTGCATGCTGCCTTGGGGAAATGGTTTTACAGGACGACTTAGAATTCAGAGGTGCATGGCTGTCTCCGAGACGGAGGCAGAAGAAAGCCTGTTAGACTTTTATCACATACAAATTGTCAGGGGAACTTAAGGGTTGTGGAAATTGCCTTTCCAAGTTTTTTCTTCATTACTTAAAATAGCTTCTAAGTGTTTGATGTCTAGCCCTCAAATTTTAAGCAGTTACAGAAGCCAAGTTCGGCAAATCTAAGAGCTGAGGAGTATAGATAGGGATACTGAGCCATCTGCAAAATTGCTGATGAGAGATGCAAATGAATCATTTTCATTCAGCCATCTGTGTTTTTCATGGGAGAAATGTAAATATACATCTCTCATTTGCCAATTACACCTTTCCTGATAAGAGGGGTGTAAGAAGATGACTTGAAATGTGATGTGAGGAGAATTTACTGCTAAGAACTAGAGGCAGGGCACTTCTTACTGATGCCAGCCTGGATTTGGGGATTTTAGGTGGACACAGGGTTTCCCAAGCACCTGGGAGTCTGAACAGTGGGTGAGGCTGGCTCACCCCACCAGCTATGCGAGGACAGGCCACTCCCTTCCTCCCCTTTGGGCTCCAGTTTTCTCTTCTTACTAGATGGTTCCCAATTCTGTCTTTCCAATCCTGTTTGTTTTTAAAATGAATCTTAATATGGGCATCAACAGTTACTATGTGACAGCCACGCAACCTTCTCTGAGGGTACCCCAGGCCTTACCTCTCTTTCCCCAGTGACTAACGCACAAACTCCCATCCTGGGCTAGTCACGGGTCCTGGCGGGGATAAGAGGGTGGCATTGCCTTTGACCTCTGCTCTGCCAGTTCTGTTTTGCCTGCAAAGGGCATGGCATTGCAGAGAGCTGGTGGGGGCACAGTTACCGAGCTCTTCCAGGCAGTTCCCCGCTGGAACCGCCCACACTGAACAGGGAGGACACACACAGCATCAACTACCCAGCCAGGGGCTCCTGGCCTTTCCTCAGCCCCTTACTGGCACCTCTCTCTGTGCCAGCCCAGGGTCCTTCCTGTTGGTACTCCAGTTAAAGCCCATTTGGTGACCCTCAGCAGGAGGTGTGATAAGAGGTGGCCCTGATGCTGCCACACACCAAACTTGTCTGGTGACACCGGAGCCACAGCTGGTACAAACCCGTTAGACTTAGCACAGCTGAAGATATGTTTGCCTGTTTCAAAAGCAAGAACACATTTCGTTCTTGATTTTAAGATCTATTTTAGAAAATGTTTTAAAATATGTTTTAAGTATAAAGGAAATAATAGAACATATCCCTGTTCTGCTGTCCAAAGATAATCACTGCTAACACATTTCTTGTCTTCTGAATGCATAGTTTAGCAGTTACTTCTCACGTGGACATGCAGGTGAATTAAGCCCCCTAGTCTCAAGCCCGCAGTTCTTGAACCAGTCAGCAAGCAGAGCCAGGACTCAAAATCAGACTTGTGACTCTGGGATCAGAGCAGTTGCTACTGCAGCATGAGACACCTCCCATAAATCACTCTTCTCCAGGTTCTCCTAGTGACAGACGATACCCGTTAACAGCCCAGACCCCTTGGATAGCACTGATGGTGTTCGTCACAAAGTGGGTTTAGAAAACACTTGGTCAAAAAAGTTTGGGCGTCTTACTGGAGCAGTGGTGGAGACGTTAGTGTGCTCCTGCATAGAAGTCTCCCAGGCAGCACTCACCAGACCCATTGGTTCCAGAACCACCACCTTTACATTGCAACTTTTGGGACAGGAATCCTGGAACCTGCTCTGCGAGACATGGGCTGGCCTGTTATATATTTCCTGGTAGGAGCAGACCCAAGACCAGTGTCTTCAGATCTGACAAGAGGCAGAGAATGAGAACAAATCTGGAAAGGCAAGTCTGCTATGGAGATCTGGAGTTGGAAAAAGGCTCCTCTTCTAGGAGAGGAAAATAGTTCCATCCTAAAAGCACTGTCCAATTAATTCTGTCAGAACTAACAGGATCGGTTAGTCAGGGAGAAGAACAGGGCAGCAGACATGCTCTCTGGGTTTGTTCCGAACTGTGTCAGAGATTTATAGATATTGATATATCATAATTAAATGCACATGAATCCACTTGAGGAAAGGGCGGTTGGAGAACCCCGAAAGGCAATTAATTGGAGGCTACAAACATTCTGACACGTTTGGTCAAGTTAGATGGTTATGGCTCGGCCTTCTGGGAGGGTAGGGAGAGGGTTTACTGTGACCTTGGCTAAAGTTCCTGGTGGCCATGCGTCCTAACGCCAACTTTCCAGGGGTGGGGGTTGGCTTGGCGTCCCCCCACCCCACCCCGCCACCGAGGGAGGAGACTGCAGGACAAGGAGTTTCCGGCTCGAGCTTCCGTGGGAATCACAAGGCAGCAGGCAGCTGCAGCCCTCCTGGACCAGGTGGTCGGGGGGCCCGGGCAGACGTGCTGGAGCTGGAGAGCCGGCCTGGGCTCGGCACCTAGCACGCGTGCTTTGCAGGGGGACCCAGCTCACTGCTTCTGTCTTGTCCCCTCCAGCCGCTGTCAGCGCAGGCCATGGCCTGCCCGCCAAGTTTGTGATCCACTGTAACAGTCCCGTCTGGGGTGCAGACAAGTGTGAGGAACTTCTGGAAAAGACAGTGAAGAACTGCTTGGCCCTGGCGGATGACAAGAAGCTGAAGTCCATCGCCTTTCCATCCATCGGCAGTGGCAGGTAAGGGCCCACGGCCTGTCCCCCTGCGTATGTGGCCCATGCTTGCAGGGAGCTCCGACTGTGCCCATGGTCGGCTAAGGCTACTTTCAAGCACGTGCCTTTGTTGAGGAGACCGGAAGCTCGAAATCGGGAAGAACATAGACATTAAGTAATTGTGAGGGACAGTTGAAGAGATGTAGGGAGACAGGAAGCCTGAGGAGATAATCAGACTTGAGCCGTGACAGCAGATGTCATCACAGAAGGTGACCCTTGAAGGACACTAAGACCTTAGGTGGGTGGGGAGGCGTGAATGCAGGGATACTGAGTGGGAGAGCCCCTCCCAGACCCAGCCCATATAGCTGTGTTACAGTTCTGTCCCCGAACCCCAGCATCCTCTGGGCACCGCCCTCTGCCCCTTATCTTTGTATTCCCAAGCATCGTCCACCTCCCCCAAACCTGCCTGCTCTCCCCGTGTCTCACTGCCCTGCTGATGGGGTGGATCTGAGTGGGCAGATACGTGAGAGTGAAATAGGGCTGGGCCTCCCCCACCTCCCAGCCCTGAAATCTCCCCAGGGAGACTCACGGAGGCTGTGGGGAGCAGCACAACTGCCCCTAAGACAGACACACAACCCAGAGGGCCCGCGCTGGAAGGGTGTAGTCCTTGAGCCGCTGCTGAGGCAGGTAGGATTCAGCCACAACCCCCAACCACCCCCGCTCCCGGGTGGTGCACCCCCAGATGCCAGCACACAGCCCATCAGGTCCTGCCTGTCAGGGCAGCCCTGGGCTCGGGCCTGGCTAACCAGCTGCGTGATGGCATGCAAATTAACCCCCCGTCTGAATCCAGCCCCCTACTCTGTAAAATAGATGTGACCGTCCCCCCCACGCAGCCTCTCAGGACTGCTCGGAAATTAAAGGAGCTCTCCAAAGGGAGCATGCTTTGAGAACTCTGCCACGATGAAGCTATGAGGGCTGCCTCTGAGGCTGTGTCTCACTGCCTGCCACATCTCCACGGTCCTCCCTGCCAAGGGTCTGAGCAGCAGGCCTCTGGAAGGCTCGCCATCTGGATGGGGCACGGGAGCAAAGGGAAACTGGCCTTCAGAGCTGCCGCAGCCCCGGACTCTGTATCATCCCCGGGGCTTCCCATGCAGATCGGGAGCCTTCCAGGGTCTCTGCCATCAGTCCCTCCCAGTTCCCGAGGAAGGCGGGCTGTGCGGTGGCAACACAGGTCCCAGCACACTGACGTCCCGTGACACCGCAGGCTGCATCGCCCTCCTGGGAGAGCCTGAGTCACAGTCCTCAGCACTATTCCGTGTGTGTATAGAAAGCTGCTCTTCTCAAAGCACTTCTCTTCCAAACCCATGAGGAGGACAGAGAGTGGATTTTGCTGTTTATCTTGGGCAGGCCTTGTAATTCTGCTTCCCTGAACAGTGCCATCACTGAGGGTCCCACACCCCAAGTGCCAGGGACAGAGCTAGTCCGGGCGGAATTCCTGTCATATCTGCTCAAGCAGAGCTTAGTCGCTGTACCCAGAAGGCCTTGCTTACAGGCAGACAGGCACTGTGCCCCAGGGCTTCCTGTGGGCCAGGGCAGTCACACATGACTGGTGGACCCACCAGAGGACCTGATGTGGGAAAAGATCTTCCTCTGGAGCCTCTGTCACTGCCTGCCTCCATCTGGGACAGAAGGAGCATTCCTCTGCAGTCCCTCCTGGAGGTGAGCTGTGGGCGCCACACCTCCCCTCTCTTCCCCTCCTGGCCTTGGCCCTGGCCCTGCAGTTCCGGGCAGCCGAGGCCTCCCAGACCAGGTGCTCCTTTGTGTGAGGGCCCCTCAGTCCTCTGCACTGACAGTGGGCTCTCCTCTGGGGCTTACTAGCACAGAGAAGCTGGTGTCGGGGGAGGGGCCCTGAGCAGAGGACAGGTGAACACGCACACGGCCCCCAGCCTCGCGTTCCCACACTCACACCACCCCGTGCCGAGCTCTGCAGGGACATCCAGAGCTGACACAATTGTTGTTCTGGACTGCCGTCTATGTTTCCCGTCACCATACATCTTCATTCTGTTCGCTTCTGCCAAAAGCATCTGTTGAGCATCATTTTAAAAGTCAATACCATTTAAATGCCTGTTGAAAGCAAAGCTGACAGAGCTAGAGCATCTAACAGCCTTTTTCAGTCGGCTCTAAGAGCACCTGGCGAAGACGAGCATCCTTCATAAGCTGGTCAGCAAGCACCCAGCAGGTTAAACTTTCCCAGGAACTGTGGAGAGGTGTATAGGTGCCCGATTCAGTCCCAGAGTCGATTCAAGACCTTTTTTTTTTTTTTTTTTTTTTTACAAAGTGCTTTTGGATCTGAGCATAATTAGCTAACTTCCTGCTTCTCCCACCTTCCCAGCCCCCACCTCCCATGGAAGTTCTATTCTTCAGCACTGCGCTGCTGTGTGACCTTTGGTAAATGAATCACCCTCTCTGTCCCTGGCCTGCCTTATCAGCTAGTGAGGCTGAGGGACTGCCCTTTCTCACACACGGTTCTGAGGCTCAGTTAATTAGTGTTTCGGATGCACTTTGATCTACTCTGATGAAAGGTGCTTCCGAGGAGAGAAGCAATAGGAGCCTTTATTGGAGGTAATAATTTCATGCTCTTTCATATGACTAGTGGGAAAATTTTAACTGAAGCGTAAAAGTCATGCCCATAAAAGAGCATCTGTTATTACAAACTTATTTACATTTTTCACGGAGTAAAAAGTTTTAAAAAATAATCAGTTGAAAGCTTTTAAGAGGGCAGAATGCCAAAGTCAAGCACATGTGCATAGCCACCCAGCCCCACATCTGTCGGGCAGACCTTGCCCCACAGAGCCGTGTAAACAGCTGCCCTCTCTTTCATGAGCAAAGACTGGGATTATACCAGAGCCGGCCAGTAAATCACAGTGGGGTTTAGGAGGGGAAATAAAACAGCTTGTTTGTGGCATCCAGTGTCTCTGGCATAAAAGTCATGTTGGAATTAAAACAATATAAATGCAAAACATGTTGGTAAAGAGCTGTGGGATCACTTTCTCTCAGCTGAGGCCCGGCATCTTGGGCATGTGGACGATGACCACAGCCCTACAACTCCCTTCCTCCAGCCCATCGGCCCCCAAGACTGGGGGCCAATCTTAAAGCCCACTGGAGGCAAATGAGACCCGGGGTGTAACCCTGGCCTCGGGAAGCCACCTCTGGCATCCGGACCTCCTGTCCTTGGGCATCCTGGTCACAATATGGATGGATACCCCACTCCCTCCGCTCTGTTTGACATTAGGGGACGACCCCTCTCCAGAGAGGCAGTACTTGGGGAATAGCTAGTTTGGGGCTTTGATTAAACTCTCCTTAGATTTATGAGCCTAAAAGGAAAGCCAGTTTGTTTCCTTGAAGCTACCACTTGTGGGTATTCATTGAGTCCCACGCACTGTGCTAATCCCTTCGTCTGCAGTATCTCACAACCCCACAAAGTGAGCAGCACTATTAATTCCACTCAAAGGCAAAGACACGGAAGCTTAGAGGGGTCAAGTCACTCACCAGAGGTCACACGGCGTGTACTTGGTAGAGCCAGAATTTGCTCAGAGGTCCTTGGCCTCAGTGCTCTCGGCATTAGGCACATGGAACCCCTGCCTCCTGTCCCCTTTGGTCAACAGACCCGCCTCCGAGCATCCTGCCAGAGGATCACCCCACTGCCTCTGCGCTCTCTCTGTGTGAGTGGATTCTAGAGAACCTTGGAAACACCTCTTGGAATTCCCTGACCTGCCCAGGCAGAGCTGTCAGCCTCCCTACCCCCTCGGTGTGGGCCTCAGAAGACAAATATAAAGGACAGAGACAAACTGAATTGGGGAGAATTACTTATTAACCCAAAACACGTGAGCCCTGGAGTGAGAGAAGGTAAGAGGCCTCTGTTGGGTTGTGCTGCCCTGGCCTCTCTCTAGCTTTGGAGGCATTGGGCCCATCACCATCCCCTTCTGAATTTTAGCTTCACCCTCTTATAACCCACTGCTCTCAGCTCAGGACGTTGATAGCCTGCCCTTTACCTCTGGATGGAGTAGTCTCTGGCTGGGCAGTTACTCAAAGCCAGACAGACAGAACACAGGAACGCCTAGGAGCACAGTGTGCGGGAAACCTAATCCCAGCAGAGGAGGGTCCACGTGGGGTGACAGACATTTTGCCCACGTCACCCAGGCTGCCAAGGCGCCCTGCCCTAGCCATCTCCCAAACAGCCAAGACAATTAGACAGGTGGCCTGGTCCAGCCAAAAAAAAAAAAAGCAGAGTCCATCTAGAATCTGCTTTAATTCCTACTTAGCCTTCAGGGTCAGGCCCCTAATCTTTCTCCTCCAGAAGATCCATCCACGCTTTCCAACCCCCAGGACACAGCCTCTCCTCACAGCAATCTCTGGGTCCCTGATCAGCCGGCTCAGCACAGCCCCTGGCCTGGAGTCCTTAGCATCTGCCCTGTCCCGCCCTGGAGGCTGAGCTCACCAGGAGCAGGGATGAGGAGGGGCTCAGCACAGCTGGAGGGAGTAAATCCTCTTCTGTGTTGTGGCCCTGTGAACTCACGTCTCTGCCATCAGATGGGACAATGGACAAGCAACCAATGTGTACAGCCCCCGGCCATCACTGAGCAGGTGATCCAGGAGGGCACCAGGTGGGAGGTAGCCCATGGGGTCCCCTTGCAACAGCCAGGGAAACTGAGGTCTAAGACACTTGGGAAAGGCTGTTGCAGACACAGCTGGAGCGACTTCAGGGGGAAGCTCAGACACCTTCTTAGTCGGGTCAAGGCAATAAAAAAGGTCTAAGTCTAAGATAAACTCCATGTGGGGTGGGAAGCGCTTGGCCGCAGGGGAGCTTAAGACGTTTGGCGTGAGCACAGCTGGCAGGGTCAGGAGCCGAATGGGAATAGGAGGGGCACCCATCTCACGGGGAGCAGCCTCTGCATCACCACTGCTGTCGTCACTGCCATCGCCGAGCAGCACCTATTTTCCAGTGGAGAAAACTAATGCCAAGAGAGGTGAACGCCTGCTCCCGAGGGCGGCTACGACTGAAACTGGAATCTGACTGGAGTGCAGAAGCCCTTATCTGCCCTTGCTCTAATGCGCCTTGAGGAGGTGCCATCTGGTCTCATCCAGAAGGCGGACACGGTACGGCAGTAGAACAGAGTGACCGTCACAGAAGCAGTAAGCCTGAGATGGGGAGGACGGCACAAAGACCTGGCCAGAAGGGCTGTGGTTATTCAACAAAAGAACCCAGCCAGCCAGCCAAGAAGCCACAAGATGAGTGAGATGCATAGGCAAGCCACTCTCCTCAAGCTGCTCAGTACTGCACCAGGGGACCCCGACGGAGCCCCTGCCACACCGCAGCGTGCCCATGGCCCTCCAAGAGGACTGGACATCTCAGACCCGGGCAGCAGCCCTCTGGGGCCCTGACGCTGACTTTGTCAGCACGGGGAAGCAGCAAAGATAGCAGCAGTCACCCAGTCCCAGCTATCATGGGGTCGGGTTGGGAAGGCCATTTCCCACTGTGTGGGCCTTTAGAAAGACCCTTCGAGACTACCCACTTTAGAGATGACACTGTCGATTGAGGGCTCTCTGTACGGTATTTTGTTCGATACACACAGCCTCCCCAGGTAATAAATACTTGGTTACCTACCCCATTTCACCAGGTGGGGAAACAAGGCACAGAGGCAGGGCCCAGACGCAAATCCCGTGTGGCTCCAGGCCACTGCGTGTGCCACAGCTGCCCCTGTTTTGAGGGTGCAGGGCCTCTGCATGTAAAGCACGCTTGTGAAAGCATCCACTTCCACATTCCATTTCATTACAAATACTTCTAACTGTGCCTACTAGAAAACATTTTTGGGACCCACCTGAAAACGTGAGGAAAGCCATCACCTCTTCCATTCCTTCCTGGCGGCTTGCGTGGTCCAGAGGGGCCATAGTCCCATGGCTGGGTCTCTCCTTTAGGCTGTGAGTGCCTCAGACAGAGGGATAGGTTTGTCAACAAGAGGTTTTCCTGGAAACAAATCATATTCACAGTTCACCCAACAGCAACCTTGAAGGACAAGGCCAGACCAGCCCAAGCTCCCTTAACAGTAGGGCATCCAGGCGTGGGCTGCAGGCCTGTGACCTTTGATCCCGACCTTTCTTCCCAATGCAGGTTCTTAACCTTTGGGCCCACCCTGAGTGCGTGTAGAACAGTGGATCTCAAAGCATGGTCCCCAGGCTCACCTCATCTGATTTCCTGGGCGGAGCCTGGCAGCCTGCGTCTCGGCCGGCCCTCCGTAATCCTGACAGAGGCTAACGTTGAGAACTTGTCGATGTAGAGGAGCAGGAACTGATGTCCCTTCGGTCAGAGTCACACATCCCTTTTCAAGGGTCCAAGGCAGAGGCATAGAAAGCTGTGGGAGAAGGTCTGTGTCAGAAAGCGCTGGGCATAGGCGGAGTGACCAGCCTGCTGCGGGCGCTCCAGGGAGGCCCTGCGGCCACACCCTGCGTCTCTGCACCGCACCACATCTCCCCTGGCTCGGGCAGAGCGGCCGCAGGGTGGCATAAGGGCAGCTCACAAAGCCCAGGCCAGGGTCAGCTCAGGCTGGGCCAACACCAGAGGAGATGGGCTGTGACCATCAGGCCACACAACAGACAGCTTGCTCTTCAGGGAAGTTCCACAGGCCCTCACCTCGGCCCAGCTCACCTGCGACGTGCAGGAGGGCACCCTTAGTGGGGGAGCTTGGGGCTGGTGGAGCGTGGTCTCGGGCTTCCAGTGCAGAGGCAACTCTTTGCAGTTCTCTCAGCCCCCGCCTAGCCAGGTCATGCCCACAGGCCGAGCTCTGCCTGGGGCAGCGGCCCTCAGAGTCCCTGGCCTGAGCGCAGGCTGCCTCCAGCGGCGGGCCGGGCCTGCTGTCCTGCCGCAGCCTCGCAGCCCTGCCCACTCCCGCCTGTCTGCCCAGGGGCTGCCGCCGCCTCAGGCTTTCCTCACCAGGAACAAAATGAGTCCTTAGGGCAGCTCCTGTATTTACAGCAGGAGAATAAACACTCGCTCTTTGTGAGATGTTTAAAATGGGCTCTCATTCGCCTGACCCTGTGCCTGCGCTCCGCCATGGCTGGCCTGGCCCCTGCCTCAGGAGGAGGGTTGCTTGGAGGAAGGGCGGCCCCTATAAGGATGCGAGCTGGGTGCCCCACGACACACTCACTGCGGAGAGGCCCTCAAAGCAGAAGGTCGGGTTCACTCCATCCAGTGCTTTCCAGCGCGTGTCTTGTTCCGGACAGTGTAGCCTTTGTGCTCCTCGACTCCTGTGAAAATAGTCAAGGAGGCCGAGCCAGGTGTTGTGAGGACAGCTTCTTCCCAGACTGAGCCTGCAAGGCCCCAAGTGGGGATGGGTGCGAGGGGTATCACCTGCCACGCGGGGTCCCCACCCTCCCCACTTCCAGCACAGCCCCTCTTCCCACCACCCTCCATCCCAGCCCGCCTCTTGGTCCCCCCAACTCTGCTGGTGGTCGGAGCCCCAGGGTCTCCTCAGGAGGAAGCCGCCTGTCCGGCAGCCCTGGCCTGGCCGGAGCGCCCCTGCAGCTCTCTCTCAGACTCTGACCCTGGTCTGGTTCACAGGCTCGTGTGTGCTGGCTGCCAGGCAGGAGTGCCTTGTGCCTGGGGGTGGGGGAGGCACCTGCACGTGAGGGGCCCCAACTCTAGGTCACACCCTACTACTGCCCGCAGGCTCCTCTGCACAGGCTGGGAACGGGCCTGGGGTGACACCCTGGTCCTCTAAAAAGGAACTTCGCTTCTAAAGCGTCCACGAGTCGCTAGGGGTCCACTGTCAAGCTGGGTGAAGCCCTGTTTGATCAAAAACAAGTCGCAAGAATGGTTTTCTCCTTGGCCCTGAAAGGCTCTGAAAAGCCCTGAGTGCTGACAATAGAGTAAGTGTGACCCTCCAAAAGAAGCCGCTGAGGTGGTCCACAACTCATGGCACTTAGCGAGTGAGCCTAGGAGAAATCCCGCACCTGACACATTTGAAAACCTCTCACCTGGCAGCAGGTACCCCATCCGAAGGAAAGCCCCGGCCGAAACTGGCAGGTTGACCCAGCACTTCGGACTCCACTGGACCCACAGGCTCAGGGCAGACTGAAGACGATCTGCTTAGGAACAAAGAAATCCCCGTGGAGACCAGCCCCTCACTCTCACCCTCAGTATCCCGGACTGTAAACCGGGGTCAGTAGGGATTTGAATCCAGGGCCACTGGCTCCAAAGTCCACGTTATTTCCCCCAGACTAGGCAAGCTGACACACTGCTGCCGTGGTCCTGCTGGGTCCTCCTGCACCTGCAGCGTTGACCAGGAACAGCCCCAGCGCACACAGAGCGAGGAGCGCCCGTCCTCCTAGTCCTGCTTTCACATTCTTGCCTGAGCTCTGAGCCCCTGCCTCCAGAATTGCCACGTGACGTTTACTTTAAATGGAATGGTATGGGATTCACACCAGTTTGGCTTGGAGACTGGGATGCTGTCCCTTGAGATGAAGAGCCTACTTGTCCCAGGGTAACGACCTGCACGCAGCTCCCCAAGGCCTGGGCCTATGGGGTGTCCAAGCTGGTGTGTGCCGGGAGGTGGATTCCTGCCGCCCATGAAATCTGAAGGCCAGTGTGAAGGATGTAACCCTCTACTTGCGTGAATGGAGGCTCGTGCTTCCTGGAGAAGCTCCAGCCTCCAGCCGTCCCGGAGGCTGAGACCCCCGGGGGGCCTTTGGGAGCCTGGGCTGCATCTCAAGGCCCATGCTGGTCCCGGTGATGTTGGGAAAAGAACCGTGGGCGCTCACACTGCCTGCGGGAGACTACACTCAGCCCACACGCCGCGAAGCACAGATTCTGCCGCCTCGCTGGCGTGCTGCCTCTCAGAGCACAGCACCTTCTCCTGCGGGCCGCAGTTCTCTGTCTACTCATTCTTCCCCTGTCTGGTGGCACTGGGCTGTCTCACGCCTGTGCACAGGCAGCCAGAGGTCGAGTACCACTTGTGGACCCTGACCCAACACGAGGCCACTGCAGCACAGAGGGCCTCGAGGGGCTCGCGGAGGGAGGATGTGGCCAGGGAGGGGGCTCCTGTGGCCGCCATGGCCCCCTAGTTGCTGAGCCGTCGTTCTCTCTCTTGCAGGAACGGTTTTCCGAAGCAGACGGCAGCTCAGCTGATCCTGAAGGCCATCTCCAGTTACTTCGTGTCAACAATGTCCTCTTCCATCAAAACGGTGTATTTTGTGCTTTTTGACAGCGAGAGTATAGGCATCTACGTGCAGGAAATGGCCAAGCTGGACGCCAACTAGGCTGAGGAACTGCAGAACCAGCCCGCACCGTGCCCCCGCCTCCAATTTGAAAGAAAGAAAAGGAAAAAAAAAAAAAAAAAATTCCCCCTCCTCTCCTAGTGGGAGGGGGGAACCCTTTCATTTTTTTCAGTTTTGCTCATCTAGGGAAAATAAGGTTTTGGTTTCCAGTTTAATTGTTTTTGACCTTCTAAAATGTTTTTACGTTAGCACTGATAGTTGACATTACTGTTGTTAAGCACTGTGTTCCAGACCGTGTCTGACTTTAGTGTAACCTAGGAGATTTTATAGTTTTATTTTAATGAAATCCTGCTTGACGCAGAGCAGCGGGGAGAGCAGTGTCTTCTACGTGGGGCAGAGTCCAGGAAGCCCATTTTGTAACCATGTGTCGTGGTGCTTTATTGTACACCCAGTGGCATTCTTTTTACTATAATGTTCTTTTTTTTCCCCTCAAGAAGAAAAATCATGAATCTGCAGCAGACTTAATTTTTGTTTACTTTTTGTCTTAATGATGGATTTGAAAATGAAAGAGTTAAAAGGCAGAACAGAATCTGTTGTCCTTAATTATATTTGCAATTTGGAATTCGTGTGAATTGATTTAGTAAAATGTTAAACTGTTGCGACTGGTGTGTTCCAAGTTATTGTGCCCTTGAGTCCTAAGTCAGTTTCTCTCGTCACAGGATGGGGCACCTTGGGTGGGGCAGCCCACCTCCAGGAAGCACCACAGTGGCCATTGCACCCCCTGGGATGGGGAGAGCATCTTCAGGCCCTGATCCCCACTTCGTGGATGAGGAAGCAGATGTACCAAAAGCCATGTGGGTGGCAAGTGGGCGGCTGGTACTCCAGCCCAGATCTCTAGCCCAGCTCTCTCCTGCTATCTGCCCCCTCCCAACGATCTCTCTGGCTCATGGCTGGACCCAGAGCCCCTGGGCCACTTGCCAGATGGAGCTACAGAAGCCTTGAGCCCTCTGCTGGGGCTTTGTTGGGTCTGTTGTTCCTACAGGATGAGGCCCCTGTTGCCGGGAGCTTTCCAAAGGCAAGGTGCCACCACCAAGGCCCCCAAGACGTGCTGTCACCTTTACATGCCTTCTTGCAGCTGTGGGTGTTTAGGGATGATCCCAGCTGCACCAGAGTAGCTTAACTCTGGTTACCTAAACTTGTTAGCAAGGACTTCCCTGGTGGCGCAGTGGTTAAGAAGCCACCTGCCAATGCAGGGGACACGGGTTCGATCCCTGGTCCGGGAAGATCCCACATGCCGCAGAGCAACTAAGCCCGTGTGCCACAACCACTGAGCCTGTGCTCTAGAGCCCGCGAACCGCAACTACTGAGCCCGAATGCCACAGCTACTGAAGCCCACGGTCCCTAGAGCCCATGCTCCGCAACAAGAGAAGCCACCATAATGAGAAGTGCGCACACCTCAACGAAGAGTAGCCCGCTTGCTGCAACTAGAGAAACCCCGCGTGGCAACGAAGACCCAACGCAGCCAAAAATAAATAAAAATTAAACTTGTTAGCAAAACGCAGACATTATTTGCTTTAGAAGATACTTTCACCTTAATCTAAATTTGCCTAAAATGCACAGAAGACTGCTCTTGTCGCTTTAAAAAGAAATGTGCCTGATTCTAAAGCAGACTTTACCCAGGAGGAAATACGCAGCACACTGCACATCATGGATGAATGTAAAGGATCGTTTTTCCTTTCCAAACTGTGCTTAATGAAATCAAAACAGAATTCCTAAGCCATCACACAACCAATCTTTTCAGTTTAAAAGCAGCTACTTCTCACTCAAACCTGAAAGATTTTTCAAATTTTTCCTAAACGTAAGGTGTTATTAAAACTTTTTACATTTTTTTCCCAAGATCTTTACTGGGTATAGATGACATATTCCTACTTATTGATTAGATTTTGGCAAAAAGGGAGAAAGTTTATCATTGCCTTTTCAAGAAGATGCATCTTGGGATTAACATATACACACTACTATATATAAGATAGATAATCAAAAAGGACCTACTGTATAGCACAGGGAACTCTACTCAGTATTCTCTAATAACCTAAATGGGAAAAGAATCTGAAAAAGAATAGATACGTGTATATGTATAACTGAATCACTTTGCTGTACACCTGAAACTAACACAACATTGTAAGCCAACTATACTCCAATATGAAAATAAAAACAAAAACAATGAGAAGAAAAAGAAGATGCATCTTAAAAATGAATTCACTCCATAAATAATATTAGCAAACTGTCTGCCTGGACAAACCATACCGAGTAGCTATTCACCCAAGAGCGTTGTTTCTGCAGGTAGAATCTGCAGCGTGTAGGGTGATGAGAAGTACGCTGTGGTTACTGTGAGTTTGTGATACTGATTATTTATTGTGTGCCTGGCACTGTGTTGAGTCTCTTGTGGGTACCATTCATTCTTCCTTGTGATAACCCTGTAGGGCAGGGTCCTTTTGTTAGAGCCATTTTACAGCTGAGAACACCGAGGCTGCCAGAGATTGAGTAACTTGTAAATGGCGTTCATTTCCTTCGCTCTGGAGAAGGAACACCTTAGAAGCCAATCCTGTGTTTAGTGGAGATCGTCCACTAGATGTCGCTAAAAGGATTGGGAAGTCAAGAGAGGAAAGGGCAGCAGGTTTCTGCTCTTCCTTGAGCTTGCACAAGAGAATAGATTGCATTTGTCAGGATTTGCGTGAATTATTTACCATAATCAGCTAAATGTTTCTAAACTTTCAATAATCCAGAGTGCGCTGTGCCCCTGGGCTGTGGGCTCACGGAAGAAATTGTTTCCGATGAAACTGAGGGAAAGAGAGCCAACCTCCAGCCTGGGAACCCCACCATCTCTAAACCACCCAGTCTGTTTTTAAAACTGGGATCAAAAATTGTTCTCTGATGTCAGTCTCATGTTTTCAGGGAAGAAAGAAAACAGTTCATTACTTTAAAAAAAAAAAAAAGGTATAACTACAAGGAACCAGTTGAAATATACACATACCTCAAATGAAGACAAGTTTGCAGTTAGTAAAATTTACCGGAAGTGAAATTATTCTGCGAAGGGGGAAAACTGCAGGTTCTGGAGAGGTAACGGCTGTCCCGCCCTCCCCTTTGCCTTGAGCTGTGTCAGAGGCAGGCTCGCAGTGAGGGCTGTGGAGCGGAGCCACTCCTCCGGGGCCGCGCAGCCTGGGATGCAGCCTGGGATGGTGGCAGCAGCAGAAACACGCCCTCCCGCTTATTTCTGAGGATCAAACTTTGCCCTCAGCAGCTGGGCTCTGCCCTGAAAAGTCCAGACGATTTCGTCAGCGTGCCTCATGAGCTCCCTTAAATGACATCTGAGATCTAACACAGCGCCATGGCTCCAACTGGGACCACACTGACAATAATAACTACTGTGTGTGTGTGTGTGTGTGTGCGCGGCGTCTGTGTGCACACAGGCACATGCGTACATGTACACGGGTCCTCTACATCCATCATTTCATCTACTTCTCATGACAACCCTATGAGGTTAACCATACTATCCCTATTTTACAGATTAGAAAGGTCACACAGCTATCAGTGGTGGAATGGAGTTTGAACCCAGCTGTCTGACTCTACAAATAGAGCTCCCGCCCTTCTCCCCCTGGCACTGACCTCTCCTTTGTTATGTACCCACAAATTCTGCTCCAGTGAGGCAGGGCTTCTTGCCTATTCACTGATACGTCCTGTGCCGCTGGCCCTGGGGGCATACACACAACCTGTTGGATGGTAGGCGGATAGAAACGTGTACTTAAAGCAATCCAGTGGCCGAGAAAAGACTTATTGGGTGCTTACTATGAATGAAGCCTCAGATCAGGGCC